AATATAGGTTAAAATTATCTGACTCTGCTATAAAACTTAATCAGTCATACTTATCTAATCGTAATCAGATCGTATGTGTAGACAATGCTAAATCAAATCCAGCCCAAGTAAAATATGGTGTTCCCCAAAGATCTGTCTTGGGACCAATTCTATTTACTATCTATACCTCTCCCCTTGGTGAAATCATCCGCAAACACTGTGTAGACTACCATCTTTTTACAGACGACACTCAACTCTATCTAATAGGACCACCATGTGATATTCCAGACAAACTGGAACGCTGAATTGAGAGCATCAGAGTATGGATGGCTGCAAACTTTCTTAAACTGAACTCTGACAAAACAGAGTACATGACCATTGGCTCAAAATCATATGTTTCATCATTAGATAGTCACCCCATTCATGTTGGAATTGATCACATCAGCCCTGTTCAATCTGCCAGAAATTTGGGTATTATGTTTAACACTATCATGGATATATCAAAACAAGTTGCAGCGGTATCAAAGGCATGTAACTTCCAGCTGTTCAACATTGGTCGTCTACGAAAATACTTAAATACAGATTCAACTAAACTGTTAGTGAACTCTTCAATCACCTTTAAATTAATTTTCGATCCTTCAGCTCCTGCGTATTTAACAGAACTTATTTGTAACAAACACCAAAACGTTTAACAAGATCATCAGAAGCTGTCAGACAGAACTTGCGAAATATGAAGTCTAACAAAACGAACGGGGATAGAGCATTTATGCACAGCACACCAAAGGCTTGGAATGAATTGCCTGTTACAATTAGATATATTGAAAAATATTATTCCTTTAAAGCGTCGTTAAAAACGTTTTTGTTTAAAGAATATTACAACCAATTCTAAATGTTGAGCAATGTTGAAATAATTTACTTCAACATTCTACCAACAACATTGTAAAGCGCGTTGAGATATTATTTGTATATTGTAATGCGCTATATAAGAATAAATTATTATTATTATTATATAGATTGGACTATTGTAATTCATTACTTTACGGAATTCCAGATTCTTCTCTTCGCCCGCTACAAAAGATACAAAACACTGCTGCACGTCTTACTCCCCATAAACAGACGCATTCAAAACAAGATGGGGGATCACGTGGCTAAGTGGGTAAGACGCTGGCTCGCTAGCCTGGAGGTCGGGTGTTCGATCCCTGCATTGGCCAAGAAAGTTCATCCCGATTTTCCGGCGTGGTTTCCCCTTGTCAGTGATGCAGGACGGAGGGCCTGACAAGGACAGCTGTCTGCCCGGGCAAAATTTCCCTCATAGCACACTGTATGGCGTATGCCCGTCTTCATTAGCCCAGGTTAGGAGTAGGACGTTAAACCCCATTTCATTTCATTTCATTTCATTTTCAAAATAAGATAATTCCCCTCACTTACAAGTTCATCCATGGTTTAGCTCCTAACTACCTGAGTGATCTTATACTAATCAAAAGTGGAGAAAGAACAACTCGATCAACATCAAAACACGACCTTGTTGTTCCAAAACCTTTGAAAGTGTCATGTGGTGATAGGGAATTTTCAGTGGCAGCACCCATCCAATGGAATAAACTCCCAGCAACATTAAAGGAAGCCAGGGGCCTGTTTCACAAAATTTTAACTAGGATAAAATCCAAATTTTAGTAATTTGATTGGATAATATTAGATTGATTTTAGTGCATAGACAATCAAAATTGAAGTATCTACTAAAATTTTGATTTTATCTTTAGTTAAAATTTCGAAAAACAGGGCCCTGAACATTAGAGTCCTTTAAATTATCCTTGTGAATACCAAATGTGACGGTGCAGCTCAGCGCCATCGAGTAGAACAGTTGTAGATGAGAGGCGCTATACAAATTCACTATTATTACTATTATTATTATTTCTGCTATCATGGATTCTTGAAACACATTTTTGAGATCAGAATAGACTACCCAGCGACAACAGACCTTGAGATCAGAATGGAACCCAGCGACAACAGAACCCATTTAAATGATATGCTACAAGTCATATCCAGAAGGAAAAAAATAACGATTAACTTAAAATCCGCCATTTTGAATTGCGCCATGCTGGATTTTCAAAATTTATCTTTAATTTTAGATACATCGAAAACCATATAAAAGACATAGTAAAGATCATATCTTAAGAGATTATCGCTGGTTGTATCGGGAAAATGCCATTGTATTACCAAATTTGGCAGCCATTTTGAAAGAAACAGTCTTAACCATGTGAAAAGTACATTCTTTGATTTTTTTTGTCAAATTCGTTTTTTAATCACATTTTGTCTCTATAACTACTTTGTGTTCGAAGAATTTAAACAAAAAAATTAGTTATTCTCCTACCACTAAAACACACTGGTTCGGAGAAATCGTTATCCGAAACTTCCTGAATTCTGCCATATTGAATTATGTTAATTACGTCATTTCGCCTTGTCCGAATTTAAGTATGATTTTGTCTGACTTTTATCAATATCAATCAATGCACCAAACTGCACTTTTTTTGCAATTTGTTTGGGGTAAATCGTTATTCCTTCCCTCTTCAGCGACACCAACAGTGAATTAGGGTTATAGTTTTGGTATCAGACGCCACTATTACTTGATAGAATATAACCAGGAGCGGATTACCCTATAGGTAGTGTAGGGGCAGCTTCCTTCGGCCCAAGCAAAAAAAATCGACCCGGTTTGAAATGACGTTAAATTATCAAATCAGATGTAAGCTAAAGATGACAATGTTGATGGCTGAAAGGCTGAAATGAAGCGAATCTTTTATTTACATATTACCATGAGTAAACTGGAGAGCACTTATTGTTAACAATATGAATGCCCATAATGATTAACTAACTAAAAATCATGGTTTTTGTGTTCTGAAATTATGATGCCATATGTCCCTTATTTGAATATTGAAAATATAGCTTACTGCAGAAAACCGTTTTCCTGTCAAACTGTCCCCACAGTCAGTACACTGACGGATATTCAATGCTGAGTGATATCACAGGTCCCTGTAACTTGGAAAATCTCTTTCAATATTAAGCTGTTGATAAAAGGTTGGTAATATCACAGGTCCCTGTAACTTGGAAAATCTCTTTCAATATTAAGCTGTTGATAAAAGGTTGGTAATATCTTTTCCCAAATGTACTCGTTTATTTCATTCAGACATGTTTGATTCAATTTTACATGCAGGCCACTGTTTGATTTTGTATAAATCAATCATTGACATATTGTATCCAGGACGCTTCAATCAACATCCATGACGACGATGGGGTATTGTCGCGCACTGTATATTATTATAACCACCGAGAGTTCTGTGAAGTGAATCGGTATGCGTGTTTTGCTCGACAGATTGTCGCCGACAAGAAAACGGGCTGTCACGGACAAATAATCCTTGGTCACGTTAAGGATAATAGTCATATTCAAATTCAAATTCATGCAAGTTCTTGTGTCTTTATTCGTTATTAAAGAATATTTTAAGGACGGACAAACGCCATACAGTGTGCTATGAGGGAAATTTTGCCCGGGCAGCAGCGCTTCGGCCTATTCTTGTATCGAATTTCAACTTTTAAGGGTTCTTTTACGTGCACGCCATCGTGTACACGGGACCTCGGGCCATCCGAACAACTAGAGATGCTGTCCTCGTCAAATCCTCCGTGCTGCACCAATGACAAGGGTAATAAAGAATAACCAGATGACACTGTCCCGGCCAATAACTATTAAATGTTTTTACATAGAGGGCTGCCCCGCTGTTGCCGTGCTCCCTGCGCCCCTCAGAACATATAGAAATGGCAATTCACTGGGAAGAGTTTATCCGTTAAACAAAGCCTTGGCTTTTTTGTTTAATATCAAAAGTATAGTGATTGATGAGTTGGGAGTGGGTAATAGTTGTTCGGTGGTGTTATTACGTATATATGCGATTTAGATCATAAGGTCTGTCATTATGTCAATCGGGATTACATCTATTTGATAAGTTTGATCAAAGGGTTAGAGTTAGGGCTATCGCTAATCCCAATCCTAGCCCTAATGTTAACTTACGCCTTGCCTACAATCTCGCCAACAACCACGTTCCCTAACCTTTTTTACAAATAACAAATAGATTTAGCCGTCAATCGGCATGGTTTTTATTCGAGATTGCACATGAGAAGGCGTAAGATCCTCAAATCACCTAGTTTGTTTAAAGTGGTTATTAAATCCATTTCTCTCTTTCTCGCTTAAGAGGCCTGCATTGTACGCATGTGAAACCCATTTCTCTCCAGCTCTTTATGTATTACACACGGTGGCTCAGTGAGTATGGCGCTGGTTCAAGTCGTTAGGATGGGACGAAAAGCCGGAAAGAACAAACCCAAACGCAGTTTCATTTTAGAGTCCTATTTCAACCTCTTATATAATGACTACCATATATTAATTTAGGATAAAAGACTTAAAGATATTAACTTACCTTTATCTTTCACTCATCAAAAAGACATACGTGTATTCTTATTATATATGAGACAGTGAAAACTCTATTTACCAGTAACTGTTGGAAACAAGGCAAATAAATAACAAATCTATCAATGGTTGCGAAATCTTTATTGTGCTAGTACAATATGATCAGTATAAACAAGATCGATATTATACTCAGCCATCATGGATTATAAATAGCTGTTTAAAGGTCCTGTTTTGATAGCACCTGGGACCTTTTCAGTGCTGTGGTGTGCAGAGTGTGACAGTGAGGGTGTGTGTGTGTGTGTGTGTGTGTCCTTGAGGGGGTGGGGGTATTGCAATGTGGCGTCCAATCAGAGAGTGGTATTCGAATTACGTTTTTGACATTGAAATTATGGCTGTTAAACTTTGTTGTCAGATCAAATTAAATTAAATTAAATTAAATTAAATTAGTCATTTATATAGCGCGATTTATCCAGGATGCCTGCTCAAATGCGCTTCTATTTGTTTTAGTGTTAGGGGTAGATCGTTCCATAAAACAGCAGCAGACTGCTGCTTATCTTATATTGGATTCTGGATCTAATAGGGAGCTAATTACGTTATTAAGCGTAGGTTTCAATTTTAACATTTGATTTCCTAACCTTTTTCCTGACTTGAATATCTGATTAAGCGGGATAAGTCATATTTAATAGAGGGCTTGATCTCGATTTAACGTTTCGTTATAGGCTCAATATTTCGTAGATTTATCACAGTAAAAAAGAAGAACCCCATCTATGGGTTTCAATCTTAAAATTTAATTTAATTTTTTAACCCGGATCCTAACCCAAACATCAGATTAGGGACCCGGGTTAACTCTAATACAACTCTAGTTATTACAGTAACGATACAATAGTAGAAACCCTACCTATATTATTATCGTAATATTTTTCTTTGAAAAAACATCATTAGTTTTAAAGCTGCTTTACCGAAGCCAGCCGTTTGAACACCAGGAGAATTCAAAATTGTTGCCAATTCCCACCCGTTTCTCCCCATTTCTAAAATCTTAGGTTCCCAGCTGACGGAGCTTGTTGTGCCTGTGAAACCCACTTTCATATCAAATTGAAATTCGATCATTATGCCCTCATAACGTGGAGTCGGGTCGTTCACGACGGCTGCCGGTTTCTCACAAAACCACAACGTATTAAAGTTGGCATTGGACGTGGTTAACGATTGCATATTCATTGATGTTGACATATCAAAGAAAATGCTGACTAGCTTCCACCCTTGAGATAAAGGTCCCTGAAAACTTCCAATCCAATCACAATTAACCGTAGAAGACGCTCCTCCAAAGCCAACCTTTGTGGAGGTCTGCAGTGGCACCATGACTGTCTGATAAACATAGCTTTCACTTGGTCCGTCTGGTATTTCAAAGAACAGATCCACACCACAAACTGAAAATAATAAAAAAAAATCAAAACAAACGATCATAAAATTTCCTTAATTTTCTTAATATTTTATTGACCTCTCTATATTACATGCATATACCAAACAAGGGTTGTTCGTGCCGTAGAGAGTCGGTTAATCGTTATTGGGGGATGTTCCATTGCTTGCAGACTACAATATTGTGAAAGTCGATCTCCAAAAGAAATATCAGACCAAACACGGTACAAATTCGTTCAGTATTAAATTACAAAGATATTAATATTATAAATTTCAAAGCACGCCATCGCCATTTTCAATCTTTGGTGAGCCTCTTTTTGATGAGACTTTTTCTATCGAAGATGGGAGATTATCTATATGGTTGATATTTTAAAAATTAGGGTTAAATAATCAATTTGAGTACAGTCTAGTGGGCTTTTTTTAAAAAGCAAATGGCTGTTATTTGGGAGATTATCTGCGGTTGTCATTTTAGAATTAAATGTAAAATATTCAATTTGAGTACATTCTAGTGGTGATAAAGCTGTTATGAATTTCTTATTTCCCATAAAAATGAAATTAGATGCGTTTAAACGGTATCGATTCATGTTGATTAATATTATAGTCTTTCACTTACCAGGCGTTTTTCCCGAAAGCATATTACCAAGACCAGACGATGTCATTTGACCAGAAGTGCCCATACAAACAAATCGTCCGCCATTTTGTGTATGCTTTGCTATTGAAGCTATTAAATGACTGCAATCTCCTTGATTCTCAACTGCACCAAATGAAGGAATGAGACCTCCACGAATTCTAGTTGCTTGAACGGAGGATTTTTCTATCAACAGCTTAAAGGATTGGTTCGGTTCATCTTGTCTCTTCATAAAAATCCCCTAAAGTGTATAATATAAATAAATCAGAGCAAGGGTGGGATTTATCGCTCATTGATTGATTAATGTGACTTATGTTGAGATTCTTAATTCAGGACAAAATATCTTGTGCCATAGCTGCGCGTTTTAGTGAAATAATTTGACATCAATATTTCGTCAAAATCGTTAAGAATCAAATGGCGCAGTGCATCTGTAACGGAACTGTCAGTTCTAATAGAAAATTTCTGAATAAGTGAATTCGGGTATAAGTATAGTGAAATGACAAAGAGAGTGGAAAAAAACCCCGCACAAAGAACACTTTATGAAAGTACCAAAGTAAATCGAATGTAGGGCTGAATAAGGACAAGGCCGTCTATGTAAAATTGCATGGAAATCTACTGTGGCCATTTAATGACCTCGATAGTAAAAGTAGGGTGTTCAACCCCATTTTATCTTCACAGTAATAGGCCTACGGATTAACATTGATCCAATATTACCTGATACGGGAATTTGGCTGTAGTCGAAAGAAATGCCGTCTGCGTTTGGCCGGGTATGTTCCTGTAATCTACAAGATGGTACCCTTCCGCCATTTTTGAAGAGAGTGCTGGATAAAATGAATCAATATCTGAAGAGGCCATCTCACTTCCTTCCGAAAAGGCGAACATTTTCATGGTCATGCCGACTTGAGTATTCACGAATTGGTATTCCACTTGAGGTCCATCGTATGGTGGAGTTAGGGGGACAGCAACAGCTTGGTTAATGACCTTTCCGCCACCCTTTGAAGATGAACCACAACCCATAACGTGATTAGGGTTGTATTTAATATCTGCCAATAATACAATTTAACATAAATCAGTACCAACAGAAGGTGATGTTATTTCATTTTTTTTTAAAAAAAGGTTCCTTCTAAAGTGTATTTTCCAAACAGAAATATTCTGAAGTTTTAAAAAACAAATAATTCAATTTGTATTGCCTCGTACCTTTAAAGCCTCAGTTTAAGAACGTTAATATTTGAATGCATTAGGTTACATACACGCCAATGTTACTTTTTGACCAATTTCTAAAGTGTCAAGGTTACAATGGCGATCTAAGTTATGATAGAGGCACCTAAAGCGTAATTGTGGAATATGCCCACACTCAGTATTATCATGTGACTGCCTGTTTAAATAGTAAATTAATGAATGTCCATTATAATGATTAACAAAATATATAGTTTTGTATGTTCTGAAATTATTGTATGTCATTTATTTGAGTATTAAAGAAATCAAACTCTGTCTTTACAGTCAATACACTGATATTCAATTCTCGGCACAGCCGTCTGTAACGTGGATAATCCCTTTCGATATTAACTTGTGACTAAGTGAGCAAGACTATAAAATAACTGGTCTGATCCCGATTCAGGGGCAAATAGCTCGTCTTACACCAATTCTTTATTACTGGCCTACTTATAATACTATCTACTGATAAGAATCGTTTTAAGGAGAGTTGATTTATAATCTTGTTGATTTAGTCACAGCTTAATATTAAAAGAGATTTTCTACGTGAGTAAAATTTATAAAAGGTTGATAACATCTATTTTATTTCAGACATTGTTTGATTCAGCTTTACAATATGCAGTTATTGTCTAATTGTCTATCTAGATTAAGTAATCTTAATGAATTTGTTGCAGATCATATTTCCGAATATAGTCGGAGAATTGATTCAAGATTTATTTTCTAACGGTTCGCAGTTCGCGATTCTTGTTGTCAAGCGAGTTGGTTGAGTGAGTATAGGGGGCCCGACGGAAATATGGGACAATTATATAACAAGACCGCTACCAGTAAACCAGAAATAATATTTCAGGTTTCGGGTGATGGAAACATTTCTGATATCAACCCGCTTCCAACCCACCCAACATGAAATCGTTGATTTATTTTTTTTTCTTACTGATCCCCCTGGGGTCCCCTTACCTAATAATTTCAAAACTCATTGAAAAAAGGACCCTTTGTTTTCATGATTTTTGGAAATGGGTTTCATTATTTTTTTAAACAAAATATATAAAAAAAAATTGTCACAAAATCGCCGGGCCCAAAGCATTTCCCCTGTTGCCCTCGCCATGATCCGTCACTGCATTGATTGATTGAACTGATACGTACTACATGGAAATTGAAGACTGTATATATTGAGCGCAGAAATAATAATAGTCAATTTCAAATTCAAATTCATGCGAGTTCTTGTAAATGAAAGGTCAGGTACCAAGCTCTATTTAAATCGGCTAAGCACTACTAACTATACCATATTTCGCTCATTAGGATGTGTGGTCGGATGGACAGGAGTGAGTATGTAGGGGCGTCTGAAGCAAGTTGGAGGTAGGGGTTTGGCAGATTTTCAGAAATTGCACGCCTTAAACAGGATGACAATGAAACGAGGGACCGACTATACGGTGTTCCTTGCCAGGTCTTCCGTCCTGCACCACTGGAAAACCTGATTCATGAACTTTCGCGGCCAATATCGGGATCGAACACAGTATCTCCAGGATACTGAATCACCGTGTCAGGTCGTTAGTATGGGACGAAAAATCGAGATTCCGTATTTTGACCTGTACGCAAAAAAAAAACAGACGCTAACACCAGTTTCATTTTAGAGTCCTATTTCAACCTCTTACATAATGACTACTATATATTAATGTAACTTACCTTTATCTTTCACGTCTCAAAAACACATAGGCCTACGTTTATTCTCATTATATTTGAGACAGTGATAACTCTATTTACTAGTAACTGTTGGAAACAAGGCAAATAAATAACAAATATTATACCAATGGTTACGAAATTTTTATAGTGCATGTGTAATATGATTATTATTAAAATCAATATTTAAATAGCCAGTAGTATTGCGAAATTTAAACAGATCATCATTTCAAAGGTTCGCATTGAACTGAATACAAGTTCTTCCTTTCAGTTTAGGACAGACAACCAATATAAATTTCCGAAATATTAGTTAAAAGGGCATTAGGCAAGATTAGATAAACAGCTGACAGTTCTCGCTATAAAAGTTAAACAACAGATAATGAAAACAGAAAATGCTGAAAATTTCAGTCAGCCATATTGCTTAACTCTGAACCGAGATATTAACGAATCCATTTTGAGCTAGCCTCGATCACCATTACTAAAGTTGGTTCCATAGTAAACACAGTCTCGATTTTCCATTTTTACATTAAATTATCTATCACAAAATGTATACAAATCCACTAAATATCGCAGGCTAACGATGGCATTGAGAGTTTTTATCAGTTAATTAATGTCTAGTTAATAGTTTAGATAACATTTTAGGTCAAAAGAGAGACCTGTAATAGGCAGATTTAGCTCTTGCATAATGCATGTTTATTAAGCATACAGGCCCACCGTTCGAATTTTATTTCTATAGAAAGTAAGATAGGCTACTGCTCACGTATGTCCTGTCCCCAACTAGTAACACAATGTAGCATTTAATCGCGTACAGAATGTTCTATGGTTTAATTTTGAAAGAACCAATAGCGTTTATTATCACACATATATCACACATGTTAAAATCCGCCAAGTGTAACGTTTCATCGCGTATGAATATGACAACTTTTAGCCCTGCGTTTATTGGTGTACAGTGTAACCTCATATAGGTTCCAAAATCATAAACAACAAGCCAACAGTGAGGCTGATGTCCCCCGCCGAAATTGCAAAATAAATAGATGACACATATTAATTAATCGCACATTTATTTTTTTCACTAAGTTTCATCACTCTCTATCAGATAGAATCAAGATTATCTTGTCCCAAACCATCGACAAATGAAATCGATTAGCTCTGCTTAGCTTCAGCTCGAAATGTTAATTATTGAACTCAGTCAAGACATTCACCTAATGAACATCTACATATACATCAAGTTTAAACATTCACCTAATAGACACCTATGCCAAGTTTGAACATTCTACCTCAATTAGAAGGAGAGTTATTGTGTTCCAAAGTTTCTACCAATCAAATTGCTTATCACTCTGCTTACCCTCAGCAAAAAATGTTCATTATCGAACTTAGTTAAGGTATTCATATAATAAATCTATACACCAAGTTTCATCAATCTCACTTAATTAGAACTAAAGTTATCGTGTCCCAAAGCATCAACCAATCAAATTGCTTATCTCTGCTTACCCTAAGCGGAAAATGCTCATCTTCGAACTCCATCAAGGCATTGACCTAATCAACACATACACCAAGTTTGAACATTCTAGCTCAATTAGGAAGAGAGTTATCGTACCCCAAAGTATCAACCAATCAAATTGCTTATCTCTGCTTACCCTAAGCGGAAAATGCTCATCTTCGAACTCCATCAAGGCATTGACCTAATAAACACATACACCAAGTTTGAACATTCTAGCTCAATTAAAAGTTATCGTGTCCCAAAGCATCAACCAATCAAATTGCTTATCTCTGCTTACCCTAAGCGGAAAATGCTCATCTTCGAACTCCATCAAGGCATTGACCTAATCAACACATACACCAAGTTTGAACATTCTAGCCCAATTAGGAAGAGAGTTATCGTGTCCCAAAGCATCAACCAATCAAATTGCTTATCTCTGCTTACCCTAAGCGGAAAATGCTCATCTTCGAACTCCATCAAGGCATTGACCTAATAAACACATACACCAAGTTTGAACATTCTAGCTCAATTAGGAAGAGAGTTATTGTGTCCCAAAAAGTGTGACGGACAGACAGACAGACAGACAGACGGACGAACCCATTTTAATAGTCCCCTGCTTTCTTCGAAAGGCGGGGGACAAAAAATAGGTGTCACGCAAACCAATTGAATATCACGAATTTGTACTGAATTGACTTTATGGATTAAACATTTTGTCTGCAGTCACTCACTCTACTTTGTGCGACATTCTTCGGGCATCGATTATTATTTATGAATGCAGCTGCAAAAGTCTGATTGGTTGGTTGGAATTAAGGTCAGTATAGAGTGGAATTTCGGTCGCAAAAAGAATGGAAAATTTTAATTTGCTTAACTCACGGAGTAGAATAGCAGAAAAAAAACCCCGCATTTGCGGCGATTGATTGGTTGTTTGGGATCTCAGATCAGCCACCTACGGTAGCTTATATTCGATCACAATGAAGTTGTTGTATTCACGGGCTGGAATGGCAGGAAAAGTGTTTGTGGCAGTCAAATATCCAAATTAATTGGTAGCGATGGGGCGTACATAACCAGGTATCTTAGCTGTATCTATAGCAACAACCCGGCGTACAGAACCAGATATATTTTCTGTAGCCACAGGATCAATCTGTAACGTTTAATGACGTGTAGATCTGTAGCTCTAGAATGTACTGTTGATGGGTGTATATATATATATTCTATGGCTAGAAGATGATATCGAGATCAATAGATCAATGCGTGTATTTTAACAATGAGAAAATGCTCCACAGACGGTAGGAGTATTTTGCCATGAAATGGGGTTTAACGTCCTATTGTTTTGCTCCGACTGGACAAATGAAGACGTAAATAGGCAATACAGTGTGCTATAAGGGTGCTACGTACTACTCTTTTATCGAATTCTAATTGCCAACGGATTCAATTGCCAACGGATCTTTCTACTACCAGCCAATGTGTACACAGGACCTCTGTTTCTCGTCCCATCCGAACGACTAGACAGCTGTCCTTATCAGGCCCTCCGTCCGGCATCACTGAGTGACAACCAGAAACCATGCCAGAAAATCCTGATGAACTTTCTCAACCAACACCGGAATCAAACCCGCGACCACCAGGTTAGCGAGCCAATTTTCTTGCGACCACTGGCCACCATTGTGCCCTAATCCACATCTCTTGTCCCCCAACTAGGGAGATTGTTATAAACAAGAAATCACCTCACATGCATGTTTCTCAGTTACAGGTGTGCCTATAAAAATTCCCCAAATGATGCCAGTAGAACTATAGCAACCATTAATGGGGTGGTCACTAATTTACTCAATTCTCGATGTTTTAATCATACCCCATACAGTGTGCTATCAATTCTGTCATGCACCACTGACAAGGGGGAAGGGGGAACCCCACTCAAACATCCTGCGAAACTTTCTCGTTCAAGCCCACTCCTCCTGGTTTATAAGCCATCATCTTACTTACTGAGCCATCCCAGCTCCCCAAACAGTAAGTTCAACAGCTAGCTATCAGATGGAGAAGTGAGACCATAAGTCTAATGCTGCATTAGTCTGTTAATTAAACATACATTATGCAAGAGCTAAATCTGTCTATTGCAGGTCTTTCTTTAGGCCTGAAATTTCAATCGCTTAGTTCATAGTGGATCAATTTGACTGAAATTTTCAGCAAATTGCCTTTACATTATTTAGTTTTTAACTATTATAGTAAGTACTGTCAACTCGTTATCGAATCTCATATAATGTATCTTTAATAAAACAATCAACTATAGCCTTGATAATTACCAGTGGCTTTAAAAAAAGAAATTCTTGGAATGAGAATGTCTAAATGATTTATTTTTTTGGGTCATTAAAACACACATATATCTTGGCATATAATTTAATCAGGATTTAAAAGATTTTTTCATAAATTCTTTCAATAACAAATCAGCTGCTAAACCAGGAGTAATTGCACCTTTAATTACTAGAGTTTCTAATGAGGGCAGTTTATTTTCTACATCCTGATCTTCACAGAATACATCCATGATGTGATCTTTAATATGATTCCACATCCACACTTTTAATTGTTTCTCTCTTCTGTTTATAAATTCACCGGATTCATTCATTAATTTACGATAATCGCACAAAGTATCCCATAATTCTGGTATTCCATCTTTCGTAAAAGAAGAAATTCGGGTAACCTGAAAGCCAAAGGTGAAAAATGTCAGAATTAATTAATCGAAACAAAAGGCATATGGGTAAAGACTTGTGTTGAGTGTTCACAAGATTTTGTGGATGAAAAATATGGGACTATAAAAATGGTGGGAGGAAAAAATTCAAACCTTGTCAAATTGTGCACCCCAAAAAGCCATGCAGACTAGTAGGTGTTTCAAAATAGTTTTTTATTTTATTTTCAGCATCCACGCCCTCTATCAAAATCCAGCCTATACTTGCACCACTTGTATTGTGATATATAAGATCTGCCATATTGATAACTTTTATTATTGACCTAACTTACCTTTGGTTTCCATACTTTTGATCGTGTCCTCATAAATTTTAAAGCACTGATATATTCTGCTTGTATTCTACGAGCTGCAGGAATTAAATCACCATCACTTTTATTAACTATCACCATATCTGCTACTTCAACAATACCTTTCTTTATACCTAACAACAAAATATAATTAACAAAACTGTTAGCAACCACTCACTGTTATAACACACACAACTTGTTAAGATCCATCATAAATGTGAAGAGTCAAACAATCTCAGACATTTATTAAAGAAATATATAAAAACTCGAACCATTACAAATTAGGTGATGTACTAAGCATCTAGACGTATAACATCCATAATCTACAAACATTTATGTACCTTGTAACTCGTCGCCCCCTGCTGGTGGAATGAGTAAACAGAAAATATCTACCATATCAGCTACAGAAAACTCTGATTGGCCTACTCCTACAGAAATAAATTTATGACATATTAAGTTTCCCTCATTGCACATTGTATAGCGCCACTCGTCACCATACAGGTGCAGAAAACACTCCAATTCAAGTAATTTCTTTTACATTAAAGATACATTATGGGAGATTAGATAAAGAGCTGGCAGTTCTCCCTATAATAGTTAAAGATAGGTTGCCAGGCAACAAAACATACGCCCACAGCAGCTAAATCGTCCGAGCGGTCGTCAAGGGTTGTCGCATATTTATTCCTTTGTAGGTAATTGGGGCCTTTACAAGACAGTTCTATACAGATCAGATTATAAATTTTGTCATTTGAGGGTTTACAAGGTTCTACAAACTGAAACAAGGGCCTCAACTCTGGAAGTAATCTACAGAAATTTGACAGGCTTTTTCGTTTTACTAATTTAAATAATGCATATAAATTTCATACAGATCACATGATCACTTTTGTCATTCAAACCTTCACAATCGCCATAACTCTAGAAATTATTGACGGAAATTGCTGAAATTCAATAGACCTGTTTCACAAATTTAAATGATGCATATAAATTTCATACATATCGGATGATAACTATCATCAATCGAGCATTAACAAGGTTTAACAAAGTGAAACAAGGGCAATAACTCTAGAAGTAATTATTGTAAATTGCTGAAATTACAATAGGCTTTTTCGTTTCACTAATTTAAATCATGCATATTAATTTCACAAAGAATGGGTGGATAACTTTTTGCGTTAGAGCGTTCACAAGGATCAGTAAAGTGAAACAAGGGCCATAACTCTAGACGTAATAAACGGAAATTGCTGAAATTCAATAGGCTTCTCTGTTTCAATAATCTAGATAATGCATGTAAATTTCAGAAAGATTGGATGATAACTTTTGACATGAGAGCGTTCACAAGGATCAATAAAGTGAAACAGGGGCCATAACTCTAGACGTAATAAACGGAAATTGCCGAAATTCAATAGGCTTCTTCGTTTCAGTAATCTAAATAATGCATATCAATTTCAGAAAGATCGGATGATAACTTTTGGCGTTAGAGCGTTCACAAGGTTCAATAAAGTAAAACAAGGGCCATAACTCTAGACGTAATAAACGGAAATTGCTGAAATTCAATAGGCTTCTTCGTTTCACTAATTTAAATAATTCATGTAAATTTCAGAAAGATGGGATGATAACTTTTGGAGTTAGAGCGTTCACAAGGTTCAATAAAGTGAAACAAGGGCCATAACTCTAGACGTAAGAAACAGAAATTGTTGAAATTCAATAGGCTTCTTCGTTTCACTAACTTAAATATTGCATATAAATTTCAATAAGATCGTATGTTAACTTTTGGCATTAGAGCGTCCACAAGGTTCAACAAGTGAAACAAGGGCCATAACTCTAGACGTAATAAACGGAAATTATTGAAATTAAATAGGCTTCTTCATCTCACTAATGTAAACAACATATATCAATTTTAAAACAATTGGATGATAACTTTTGGCGTTAGAGCATTCACAAGAAATTGTGGACGGACGGACGGACCGACCGACCGACTGACGGACGGACCGACAGACGGACGGGGGCAACGGCAATATACGTCCACATTTCAATGTGGGCGTATAAAAACTAGATAATGTAAAGGGAATTTGCTGAAAATTTCAGTCAAATTGATCCACTCTGAACCGAGATTTTAGTGATTGTATTTTTAGCCTAGCCTCGATCATCATTACTAAAGTTGGTACGATAAAAAACATAGTCTCGATTATCCATTTCATGATTAAATCTTGAATGGAAGTTGGACAGCAAATCGGAACCTAATCCAATAAACATCGCAGGCTAGCGATGCCATCGAGAGTTGAGTATGGTCTGGATAAGTTAATTAATGTCTAATTAATAATTTAGATAACATTTCAGGCCTAAAGAAAGACCTGCAATAGACTGATTTAGCTCTTGCATAATGTATGTTTAAGACAAGTTAATGTGACCAGGCTTAAAAACAAAGTTGTTAAGAATAAAATTACTACTTGCCGACTGTTTCTATTATAACTATATCAAACCCTGCCCCTTCACTTAAAACCACAGCTTCATTGGTTGTCCTGGTAACACCACCTAATGTTCCACCTGTTGGTGACGGTCGTATGTAGGCATTAGAATCACAGGATAACTCTGGCATACGAGTTTTATCACCCAAAAGAGAACCTGGAATTTAAATATTTAAATCTAATGTCTGAAATAAAATGAAATGAGAAAAATATCTTATTAGAAATATCTGAACACATTTCTTTAACCGTTCTATAATTACATTTACACTTAGTCTTTATAAACCCATCTAGGCTTGATAAATATCAACAAGTTTATAATATTTGTCATTTAAATCAGTTTATGGATTCATAAAATTTGCGGAACGATTCAAAGAGCATTCAATTTTCAGTAACTGTGTTTAATAATCGTACAATGTATGTGATTAAGGTTGTAGATATTCGAATAAGGGAAAATAAATAGTAACCAGTTGTTTCATCTAGTACAAAGTTTACATCATGGCACACTGCAGGGTACATGCCAGTCTTCATTACCCTGGTTGGAGAGAGTGAGAGAGAGAAAAATGGGGTTTAACATTCACTCGACACAAACTAGGTCATTTCAGGACTAACACATGGTTCAATTTTATTTCAATAATTCACTGGCGTGTAGGGGTCTTTAGCAGTGGTAGGAAACCAGAGGATCCAGAGAAAATCCACGAGGTTGGACAGGCGACACTACTCCTTGTCATGTACAACGGGGGAATCAAAACCACCCCAGGTGACCCGACACAAGCTAACCATTCCGCCATCCTACCCTGGTTTGTGTGGAAGAGTAGGATGTTAAACCACTGTTTGTTTTATAAATATCAAGTCAATGGGATGATAATCAATGGGCTTTTTATCCATAAATACACACACTGTGTATTAAAGTAATGATATATCAATTGCATTTTTAGCAAAAATATAAAATTTCTAACAGCTTAATCCATGCTAATATAATTGTTTTAATAAAGAAAACAAAATCAAAATATCAATGCCAGATAACCTCCTGGCTTGGATCAATAAAATTAAAAATAGGCCAATCATTTCTGTTCACCCACAAAATGGATCTATGAAATTTCAATTAATCATATCTTTGTAAATACTTAATGGAACTGAACCATTTTTGAACCTATATGTCTATTAGAGATTCTTCTTTTACAATATTGTAGTTTACAGTGGTTTCTATTACGCTAAAAAGACGAAATCAACAGGTGATAATATTAGCCTGTAGAGCTTGTGGACCTATAACAACTGCCAATCCTGTGAGACAGATGTGATTCCAATTAGCGTACTTTATAAAGGTTAAATCAACTAGAATCAATCAAGTTACATAGACTGATGGTGTTTCTAGGAAAACAAGCCAACAGTGAGGCTGATGTCCCCGCCGAAACCCCAAAATAAATAGATAACACATATTAATCAATCGCACATTTATTTTTTTCAAAAGTATCAAGCAATCAAACTAATTATCAACAATACACTAAGTTTCATCACTCTTTATCACATAGAATTCAAAGTTATCTTGTCCGAAAGCATCGACCAATGAAATTTCTTAGCTCTGCTTAGCTTTAGATCGAAATGTTAATCATTGAACTCAGTCAAGACATTCACCTAATAAACATCTACATCAAGTTTAAACATTCTACCTTAATTAAAAGCAGAGTTGTTATTTTCCAAAGTCTTGACCAATCGAATTGCTTATCGCTCCCTAGCCCAAGCAGAAAATTCTCATCATCGAACTTAGTCAAGGTAATAAATGATATAACAATTATAATAATAATTTATTCATACAAAATAAGAACAATTACAAAAGTCAATATAAACATAAATCTGACCTTAATATATACATTATGTTAAATTCAGTTTGTACAAAGTTCATTAATTATATCATTTAAATTGTTACCGTTTTCTCTTAAAGACATAAAATCTCTGATGGCGCCTGCCTTAATTTTATTATTCTCTGATTTTGAATTGATGTCGATTTTATTTACTGTAGATAAAATTTTACTAAGAGATATATTAGTTAGTCCGTATTTTGATAGACCATATCTGTGACAGATATAATTTAAACTGTTAGCAAGAGTTGACTGACTGCCGTATACAGCTAACTTAGCACAAATGTTTGTACACATGTTTTTACTGTTGACAGTACTTTCGACAAACTTTAAAAACCTTTTATGAAGCTGTAGAACAGATCAGATTCAATAAATTACAGTGTGTCCGTTCTGGTATATTCCATATTTTTTGACTGGCTTAATTTAAACCAAAGTCATCGTGCTCCAAAGCATCAACCAATCAGATTGCTTATCTCTGCTTACTGTAAGCAGACAATGTTTATCATCGAACTCCATTAAGGCATTCACCTAATGAACACCTACACCAAGTTTGAACATTCTACCTCAATTAGAAGGAAAGTTATTGTGTTCCAAAGTATCCACCAATCAAATTGTTTATCACTCTGCTTAACCGGAGCAGAAAATGTTTACTATCGAACTAAGTCAAGGTATTGATCTGATAAAACTATACACCAAGTGTCCTCACTCTCACTTAATTAGAACTAATGTTATCGTGTCCCAAAGCATCAACCAATCCAATTGCTTATCTCTGCTTTCCCTAAGCAGAAAATTCTCATCTTCGTACTCCATCAAGGCATTCACCTAATAAACACCTACGCCAAGTGTGAACATTCTAGCTCAATTAGAATTAGAGTTATTGTGTTCCAAAGTCTCAACCAATCAAATTGTTTATCGCTCCGCTTACCCTGAGCAGAAAATGCTCATTATCGAACTTAGTCAAGGTATTGATGTAATAAAACTATACACCAAGTTTCATCACTATCACTTAATTAGAACTAAAGTTATCGTGTACCAAAGCACCAACCAATTGAATTGCTTATCTCTGCTTACCCTAAACAGAAAAGGTTATCTTTGAACCCCATCAAGGCATTGACCTAATAAATACCTACACCAAGTTTGAACTTTATAGCTCAATTAGAAGGAGAGTTATTGTGTCCCAAAAAGTGTGACGGACAGACAGACAGACGGACAAATACATTTTAATAGTCCCCTGCTTTCTTCGAAATGCAGGGTACAAAAAACTTTATAATTAAATAAGAGATATTATCAACTCAGTAGTCAGTCATGTTATCTAAAACCACCGGATATTAAATTATTCGCTTAGTTAGTCACTTGTTCGGAATATTTGAATAATAGTCAGAACATGTTGAAAGAGAATTCTATGTTAGACTATAATCAATTTGTTATCCTTTACTAATGTCAGAGACCTACAATTGTTTTTTTAACATTTTTATTCAGAAAGAAACACTGAATAAATTCCTCATTTTTCATAAAAAAGATTTCAATAGAAACGCGACGCATGCATGGATTTAAGGGTTAAGGGGGTGGGCAGGGGGGGGGGGCCCTCCTCATGAGATCAAGTAAGTGCCCCTGGGGTTCCCCCCACCAAAAATCAAAAACAAAATCAACAAGCCAACAGTGAGGCTGATGCCCCCCGCCGAAATCCCAAAATAAATAGAGGACACGTACATGTAGTAATTTTTTTCAAAAGTATCAAGCAATCAAACTTATTATCAACTATACACTAAGTTTCATCACGCTCTATCAGATAGAATCAAAATTATCTTGCCCCAAAGCATCAACCAATGAAATTGCTTAGCTCAGCTTAGCTTTAGCTCGAAATGTTAATAATAATAATAAAAATAATAATAATAATTATTATCATCGAACTTAATCAAGGTAATGATATAATGAATCTATACTTGGAGTTTCATCACCCTCACTTAATTATAACCAAAGTTATTGTGCCCCAAAGCATCAACCAATCAAATCGCTTAGCTCTGCTTGCAGTAAGCAGACAATGTTTGTCATCGAACTCCATCAAGGCATTCACCTAATGAACACCTACGCCAAGTGTGAACATTCTAGCTCAATTAGAATGAGAGTTATTGTGTTCCAAAGTCTTAACCAATCAAATTGCTTATCGCTCTGCTTACCCTGAGCAGAAAATGCTCATTGTCGAACTTAGTCAAGGTATTGATGTGATAAAACTATACACCAATTGTCCTCACTCTCACTTAATTAGAACTAAAGTTATTGTGTCCCAAAGCATCAACCAATCAAATTGCTTATCTCTGCTTACTAAAGCAGAAAATTTTCATCTTCGAACTCCATCAAGGCATTCACCTAATAAACACCTACGTCAAGTGTGAACATTCTAGCTCAATTAGAATGAGAGTTATTGTGTTTCAAAGCCTTGACCAATCAAATTGCTTATCGCTCTGCTTACCCTGAGCAGAGAATGCTCATTATCAAACTAGACATCAAGGTATTGATGTAATGAAACTAGACACCAAGTTTCATCACTCTCACTTAATCAAAACTAAAGTTATCATGTCCCAAAGCATCAACCAATCAAATTGCTCATCTCTGCTTACCCTAAGCAGAAAATGCTGATCTTCCATTGACCTAATAAACACCTACACCAAGTTTGAAAATTCTAGCTCAATTAGAAGGAGAGTTATTGTGTCCCAAAAAGTGTGATAGACAGACGGATGGACGGACGGGCAGGTAGGCAGGCAGAAAGACAGATGAACCCATTTTAATAGTCCCCTGCTTTCTTCGAAAGACGGGGGGACAATAACAATGATAATGACATGAACTCTATGTGAACTTGAATAAAACTGCTTTCCGGCCACATTGTTAAACGATTGGCAAACAACTATTTAGGCATTACGATCTATGTTCTACCTGGGCGATCAGTGTAATTTTATGCATATTTTTACATATTTTGTTGACATTCATTATGGAGTGGGATTGTGCATGGTTTCTAGATCCGCTACTAGTGACAGGTAAGTGCCAAAGTACCCTGATGATAATTCACCCCCCCTCCCCTATGGTGGCTGTTAGCGGCCATTCAAATGAATCTAAATCGTCGCCTTGTGAAGAAGGTGACAAATCGACAAGTCGACAGAATTGACCCGACAAGTCGATGAAATGAAGGCGACGATCGTCGGGTTATTTTGTCGTGTCGGCGGGTTGATTTTGTCAACTTATTCACAACCTGACATGGCGACAAGTCGACGAGATACAATTATTTCGATTTGTCGTGCAGCGACTTGTCGCCTCGGAAGTCAAACTCGAGCTTGTGCATTTGCTGACTGGATAACTTGCATGCGCACAGATTAACCCGACAAAATCAACCCGCCAACACGACAAAATTACCCCACGATCATCGCCTTCATTTCGTCGACTTGTCGGGTCAATTCTGTCGACTCTGACTTATTCACAACCCGACAAAATCAACCCGCCAACACGACAAAATAACCCGACGATCATCGCCTTCATTTCGTCGACTTGTCAGGTCAATTCTGTCGACTTGTCGCCTTCGACTTATTCACAACCCGACAAGGCAACAAGGCGACAAAAAACAATTATTTCGACTGGATAACTTGCATGTGCACAGATTAACTTCCGAGGCGACAAGTCGTTGCACGACAAGTCGATATAATTGTATTTCGTCGACTTATTCACAACCCGACAAGTCGATAAAATACAATTATTTCGACTTGTCGTGCGGCGACTTGTCGCCTCGGAAGTTAATCTGTGCGCATGCAAGTTATCCAGTCAGCAAATGCGCAAGCAAATATTCAAACGTTTTTATAAATCGGATAATAATTGTGACCTCTAGAGGGACCATAAGCTAAAAACGCGATTTTTCATACAATCAGGGGCCATAATTCAGAAAGTTATAATCCGATATGCGCAAATATTGAAAGGAACCAAGATCTTTGGGTTATAAACATGCATTTCAAGTTTCATCCAAATCAGATGAAAAGATTGTGACCTCTAGAGAATCCACAAGCTAAAAACGTGATTTTTCGTACAATCAGGGGCCATAATCCATAAAGTTATGGCCCAATATATGCCAATATCGAAAGGAACCAAGATCTTTGAGAGATAAACCTATATTTCAAGTTTCGTCAAAATAACCCGACGATCATCGCCTTCATTTCGTCGACTTGTCAGGTCAATTCTGTCGACTTGTGGCCTTTGACTTATTCACAACCCAACAAGGCCACAAGTCGACAAAATACAATTATTTTGACTTGTTGTGCGGCGACTTGTCGCCTCGGAAGTTAATCTGTGCGCATGCAAGTTATCCAGTCAGCAAATGCGCAAGCTCGAGTTTGACTTCCGAGGCGACAAATCGCCGCACGACAAGTCGAAAAAATTGTATTTCGTCGACTTGTCAGGTTGTGAATAAGTCGACAAAATCAACCGGCCGACATGACAAAATAACGCGACGATCGTCGCCTTCATTTCGTCAACTTGTCGCCTTCTTCACAAGTCGACGATTTAGATTCATTTGAATGGCCGCTAACAGCAACCATACAAACCTAATTTCTTACACCAGACAGAAACATTGAGACAGCAGAGTAACCTTCCACCCTATCTAGGCATTAACCAATATTAATCTTGAATTTGGTAGTCACAATACAATGATCTTTATAATAAATATTCAATTTCTCCAATATCTACCTCATTGACTAAAGGGATACAACTGCTTTTTACACCTTAAGTGTATCGTGTCTAAGTGAGACTATAAGTCTATACTATAGAACTGACTTGTCTTGTTTACCTTTCCTTTTAAATAACAATTTATTCCAATGATGATCAGTCAAATAATTTAACACCTTACAGTTGGCCATAAGCTAACCCAATTGCCATCGGTCATGCTCAACTATTTATGGACACATCCCATGGTCTATGCCAAGTTGTTTAATACCCAACTCCACTTCCACCCCCAACCCCCGCAAAAAAAAACCCCATTTCACTTGTTACTCAGTCTACGAGTTACATGAATTACAAACATAGAGTTGGAGACGAACTTCACGGACCAATCTGCAACCAAGACACATGCTCAGCAAGATTTTCCAGCGAGTAACAGAATTCTACAGGTTTTTGATGGGTTGTTTTTAAATCTGATTGAATCCACTGATATTTGTCTTAATTAATCAATTTGTGTATATTTTAATGTGGATTAAGCAGTGATAAATTAGATATTGTTTGAAAATTGCACTATTAGGATCACAAGTTAAATGATAGTTTCAATTTGAAAGTTTGGAAATGTCAACAAAGCTTCTAGAATAGATTGAACCAGTGAATCAAACTCTTACCGCCTGTAGTTGATGAAGAAGGATCTACAGCTAATACTGCTACTTTATGACCATGACCTGTTAAATATTTACCAAAAGCTTCTATAAAAGTACTCTTGCCTGCCCCTGGTGGACCTGATAAACCTAAAAAATAAAGAGAAGAGATTGTCGATCATGTATCTTTACAAAATTAGTCGAAGTGATAAACAACATTTAAATCTCCAACAGGGTTAAATCAATAACTGAGTTTCTAAGATAACGTCAAATTAATTCCCTGTCCCTTTTACCTGCAACCTTGATATCAATCAACCTGCTGTTTAATATCAGGTACTATAAATTTACTGCACACTTTTGCTGCATTATGTAAGATTAAGATAAAGAGCTGGCCGTTCTTACTGGCTGTATTACTAATAGTTCAAAAATAGATAATTTACCAGCGACTGCGATTTTTCGTACAATCAAGGGCCATACATGTAAATCAGGAAGTTATAATCTAATATGCGTGAATATCGACAGGAACCAAGATCTTTGGGTTATAAAGATATATTTCAAGTTTCATCAAAATCGGATCAATATTATGACTTCTAGAGGGTTCACAACCTTGACATACCATATATTTACACTAATTGCGTACGAGGGGCAGCCATTTTGTATGGCAGTTTTGGTCCGATTTTCACGAAATTCAATCTCAGTCGTCATTAGGGTATAACGGTGAAATATTCAAACGTTTTTATAAATCGGATTATTATTGTGACCTCTAGAGGGACCATAAGCTAAAAACGCGACTTTTCGTACAATCAGGGGCCATAATTCAGGAAGTTATAATCCGATATGCGCAAATATTGAAAGGAACCAAGATCTTTGGGTTATAAACATGCATTTCAAGTTTCATCCAAATCAGATGAAAAGATTGTGATCTCTAGAGAGTCCACAAGCTAAAAACGTGATTTTTCGTACAATCAGGGGCCATAATCCAAAAAGATATGGCCCAATATATGCCAATATCGAAAGGAACCAAGATCTTTGAGAGATAAACCTATATTTCAAGTTTCGTTAAATTTAATTTTGACCTGTAGTAGAGTGTCCACAAACAACTGATGGACAAACAAACAGGGGTGACGACAATATACGTCCACATCAAAATGTAAACGTATAAAAACAAATATATTGAAAATTTCATTAAAAATTACTTTATTCTGGGCGAAGTTATGACTTTTTGAAAATGTATCGTAGATTGTTTCTAATTGTAGCAACCTCAATTCAAATTCATTTAAATCTCGGCCATTCGACAGTCTAGAGAACTGTTTACAGGTTTGTCATGCGAATAAATGTCTAAATAATAATTTATATAAAAATTGAAGCCAAAAAATAATACATGTAATAGGCAGATTTAGCTCTGATATAATGCATCTTTAAGTACACAAGAATTCAACACTCAGTCAACATGGGGATTGCCAAAATCACATGAACATATCCTATTAATAGCTCTCCATGACCAGCAAAAAAAGACCATGTAAAAAGTTTCCTTGAATAGTATACTATATTACAGAAAATATTCCATCTAAGACTTTATCCTGTGTATTTTTTCAAAATTAGGGGAGTGTGTTTTTCAACTCTCTTGTTTTGTAATTGCTTCAAACATTGTGCAACCATTTTGAAAACTAGGGTCCATTCTCCGCCTAAAAATGTAAGCTTGCCGTAGATGTCATATTACCTATTCTAAAAGTCTGTTGATTAGATAAGGAATGAGCCACTTCTCCCATGTTATCATGTAATATTTTCATTAATAATAACTGTGCTTGCTTTTTCTTTTTCTTGTGCCCTGATTCAACTAGAGTTATAGCCCTTGCTAAACTCGCTCTGTCATGATTTTTTAATCCAGAATAGAGCCCAAGTACAGTTTCATCCTCTTCCCCTAACTGTTCACGAACATCTACATATTCTTCATTATACCGAATATTTACGTGTAGTTTTTGTTTCTTTCCAAGAGTGGCATATTGTAGTAATCTTGATGAATTAAAATATCTTTTTAAAAATTTACATGTTGACAGCTTCTCGCAATTATAACATAAACGTAAAAGTCTTTGTGTGCTGTTTGCAAAATGTAAATAGCGTATAATGGTATTCATTTGTCATCTAATGGGACAGTTGTATGTACGTTCAAGCAGTAGACCTATTTCTTAAGCCAGTATTCTTTATGTTATGGTACCTGAAAAATAAAATCAAATCTTGATTACACATGTATGTTTTGGTTACGCGTCCACTCAATATTCTATGAGAGAATTTTTAGATTTCGCAGGAATTTGCGTTGATGGGGATATGTTCAAACTCAGAAGTGACTGTAATAATGAAATTAAAAGAAAAAAAATAAAATTATGTTTCAATGAATGAGATTTTTACTGATTAGGTTGATATCTAAAGGGTCCTTTTGAGATGAAATAAGATCGTAATTATGTGGCAAACACAGAGATTGCATTTACAATAATTTACATGTATAATGACCTTGATTCAATTTAATCAAATGAAATGTGATACCGGTACCAACTGTTTACAAAACATGTGATTTAATTTAAATAGATTCTAAAGGGCAATATACCTATAAACCGCTGATACAGGCCCAAATGGGTTCTCCAGCTAGAGCTTAGCATCTACTGTCTTAATAAAATAAATGCGGATGAAAAAAATGTGAATAAGTTGTTAATTGGAGTTGTCTCCCTTCCTTAGATACATTTTCTGGATTCTCTATGAATGAAGTTCTTTTAAGTCAAAATATTTAAGCCGAAGGTTATTAATCAATAGTGTGAAATCATATATTATTTGCAATATTGCCCGAGGAATACTGGGAATTAAACTTTTAAATTTATTTGATTAAATTTAGTGGTCTGAAACCATCAAATCAGAGCTGCCTTTTGACACCACATTTTACAAGATTCTGGGGTTAAAAAAAATATATATATTAGGCCTATGATTTTACTAGTTGATGCATTCTAATTAGGCCTAATGGTGTAAGGTTCTAAATAATATTATTGCCACACTATACCATAGTCGTCCGAGAGATGAGAATGAGATGACCTGAGTGACAGTCACTGTCGTCAGTGACTGGCAAGTCAGTGAAAGTGACACAGCCAAACCAACAATATCTACCAGGAAATTTGTTCCTGTAACCCGTGAGTACGGATATGAACGTTTCCTACAGCCTTTAGGAAATAGTTAACCTATGTTGTTTTGACAACATGACAGTCTAATGACAGTTCTATAAATACAAACCCTTATTTACAATATCTTGGTACAGTTCGATTCACACCAGACTGTTTGTTGGGTTAAAAGCGGAAATAGCCTTGCGCATGCCCGGATTGTACAATCGAACGCAAAACCAGAGAGACATAGGTCAACGACTTGTTAGGCTACCTTTCCCACACCCTTTTCCAAAAACCACCTGAACGCGATATATTATGCTTTGCCCTTACAGTGCATATACTTGTATAGTTGAATTTTACTACATATGCTTACATTCGTATTTCGTGTAGCATAAAAAGCAGATCATGACTCATGCTGGCATTACACAGTGGGTTCTTTGGGTTGTATTCCTAATTGTTTTCAAATTTGAGTGAAGTCTGTGTCACTACAGACCCGGGAATGTACAGCGCAGTGGACGCTTACGGCTATATAGCCCCCGGATCCATTCACTTTTTTTTAGTTTCTTTGAATTTTCTGTATGTTTGTGTTTTCCTGAGTATGATGTCCTGTCCGTGTATTTGTTTTTGTGTAAATTTTGTGTGGTGCAGTCCCCCTGCACTTACTAATATAGATTTCTATACTACAGTGTTTTTAACACGGTCGATTCCCCGGTTGTACGTGACAAGGGCTAAGGTCGCCTGTCAAACATCCGTTTTCCTCCGACTGCTAAGAACCTCTACGCGCAAGAGAATCATGGAAATAAAATTGAAACATATGCTGGCCCCGAAATGACCAAGTTTGTGTCGAGTGGACGTTAAACCTCATTTAAAAGAAAGGTTTTACACGGGGAAATGGGAAAGGGGGCATAACTGCGGAACGGAAAGTTAAATTTTATTTCAATAATTCGCTTGCACGTAGGGGTATTTAGAAGTGGGAGGAAACCGGAGGACTCGGAGAAAACCCACGAGGATGGACAGGCGACCTTACACCTTGTCACGTACAACCGGGGAATCGATCGAAACCACGCCAGTTGACTCCATGCCGGACCTTAAGATACAGCGCGCACGTGCTAACCATTCGGTCCCCTCCCCCACCCTGTTATGGTATAATAATATCCCGCCACAATGTAACATTTGTTTTACTGGATTGCAGATATTTAAAGTTCTGATTATATCGCGAAATACGCATACTCCTCCCAGTGTTTCGTTTGATTAGAGCTAATCCCACTAAACACTGCTTTAATGGAAGCAAATTTCTGTTATGACTGGTCAATAGTTCGATTAACAACCAATATAGCTAACTACATAACAATATCGTTACATTTTAAACAAAGCTCCAAATTGGACCAAATATGTTTACATAACGTTACATCATGACTCACGATTTTATTATGCCCAATTAACCAGTGCATAGCAGAATATTGCAGAAAAACTAATTGCGTGACAAACGAGGCTATCAACACGAATACAATGTAAACAATACTGTGTGGAGACGAAGAATACTGTCACCGTTTTAATACTTTAAATCACAGTCCAAAGTTCAAGGGAAGACCCCAGTAGTCCGGTCGCAAAACCCAGTAATTCGAGCGAACCTGGAAATTGTATACAAAGTTTTTTTTTTAAGATTGATTTTAGTAGCCCAGGGTGTCCTCTTTCAGAATCTGCCGCTCGGTCACCCTTGGGCAATTCAAGATGGCGTCCAAGATGGCCGCCATTTCAAATAATCCCCTATAACTCCCATAGTATTTAGTCTAGGGTGATAATTTTGGTGTCTAACCGTATTTTTTTGGGGTCAAGGAATACACCGAAATCATTTATCATGTTGTGGAGTGATTAGATGATAGTAAAATCCAACATGGCGGCTAATATGGCCTCTTAACCCTTTAGCGGCGATTGGGAGCGACTATTTCACCAAACCAAACTATATCTAGAGAGAAGCTAGATGTTACAGCCATGCTGTTACATATCACTGAAAAGCTTGTGTATTGGTCTCTTCAAATATGTAAATAATTTTCTGGCACATTCATATTTACTTACCTTAAAACAGATCAAATTTGGGTGGTACTAAACTCTATTACTATGATTATGAAGGGGGTAGGGGTATTCAAAGTCAAAATACGGGTCTTAGTACGAAATTCCAGCCATGATGTACATATCACTGAAAAGCTTGTTTATTGGTCTTTTAAAATATGTAAATAATCTTCTTCCAGATTCACATTTACTTACCTTAAAAAACGATGAAAATTGGTTGGTACTAAACTCTATGATAATGGGGGGGGGGGTCAATGTAAAAATACGGGTCTTAATACGAAATTCAAGCCATGATGTTACATATCACTGAAAAGCTTGTTTATTGCTATTACTTACCTTAAAAAGCGATCAAATTTGAGTGGTACTAAACTGTATTACTATGATTATGAAGGGGGTAGGGGTATTCAATGTCAAAATACGGGTCTTAGTACGAAATTCCAGCCATGATGTTACATATCACTAAAAAGCTTGTTGATTGCTCTTCTTAAATATGTAAATTATTTTCTGGCACATTCACATTTACCTTACAAAACGATCAAATTTGGGTGGTACTAAACTCTATTACTATGATTATGGAGGGGGGGTAGGGGTATTTAAAGTTCAAATACGGGTCATAATACCTAATTTCAGCCATGATCTTACATATAACTGAAAAGCTTTTTCATAGCTCTCTTCAAATATGTAAATAATTTTCTTTTACATTCATATTTACTTACCTTAAAAAACAATCAAATTTGTTCATTGCTCTCTTCAAATATGTAAATAATTTTCTGGCACATTCATATTTACTACCTTAAAAAACGATCAAAGTTGTGTGTAAAGTAAAAAATACGGGTCTTTATACGAAAATACAGCAATCACTTAAAAGTACGTTCTTTGATCTTTTTAAATATGTAAATAATTTTATGACACACTTATATATACATACCTTGGAAAAAGATTAAATTTGAAGGGAACCGGGGGGGGGGGGTTGAAGATGAGTCATTCCATCGTGAATACACCAGGAACCAAAAATTGGTAGTAATAGGTGGGGACGCTGTCCCGGTTGAGATTAGCAATGGTGGTATAGTTATAACCAGGACAGACAACATCATTGTTTAGCAGGTGATGATGTGTGCCCAAAGTGATCAACAAGCTGACAAAACCGTAATATCAGACGATACCGATGTCTTCGTTCTTCTTGTGCATTACTACCACATAGTCAACATGAAGAATCGCGTTACAATGGAATCACCAATCAAGGAAAGAACAACTATTGACATTGGTAAAACTATGGAGAAACACGCATCCATTATCACTGAAATCCTGCCAGCTCATGCTCTTACTGGATGTGACACGGTTGCATGCTGCTGCGGTGTGGGGAAAGGAACAGCATTGAAAGGGATGAGAGCTGGATTGTATTCTCTCTCACTCCTCGGGGTAATAGACTCTCCAATAGAATCGGCGATTACACAAGCCACTGCATTTATGTCAGCGTGTTATGGGCAGAGCTCTAGCAAATCGATGTCTGAAACACGCTGGAGGGTATGGGCATCCAAAACTGGAAATGTATCGTCATCATGCCCACCTAAACCGTGTAGTCTTGCTCCAACGAATGATGCATTTGCAGAGAATGTAAAAAGAGCTCATCGCCATGCTATTGTGTGGTGTTCATTGGAAGATCGTAATCCGCCTGAACTTGATCCGGAACTGTATGGCTGGGTGAAGGACACTAAATTGAAAACATTACAACCGGTCACCCTTCCAGTTGATAATCAACTTGCTCCGGAGTCTGTCATGCGGCTCATCAGATGCGGATGCAAGAGTGACAACCCATGTAGTACGCGTGCTTGTAGCTGCACTAGGGATGGCTTAAAATGTACAGTATTTTGCGCTTGTGCCGCCGCAGGTTGCAGCCGGAAACACGACTAAAGGGTTAAACTGAATATTACCTATTACACGATAACTTTGGTTCTGATTAAGTGAGAGTGATGAAACTTGATTGTTAGTGTCATCACATCAATACCTTGACTAAGTTATATAATGAATTTTCGGATCACAGTGAGCAGAGCTCGATAACTTAGATTCTAATTGAGTGCTAGTGGTGAAACTTCGTGTATACTTTCATTACACCAATACCTTACCAAAGTTCGATGGTGAATGTTTTCTGCTTAGGAAAAGTAGAGACTGCAATCTGATTGGTCGAGACTTTGGAACACAATAACTCTCCTTCTAATTGAGGTAGAATGTACAGACTTGGTGTAGGTGTTTATTATGTGAATGCCCTGACAGAGTTACTTTGGTTCTAATTGGATAAGAGCAATGAAACTCTTAAGTATAGATTCATCAGATCAATACTTTGACCAAGTTCGATGATGAGAATTTTCTACTTAGGTTAAGTAGCGATAAGCAGTTTGATTGGTCAAGACTTTGGAACATAGCAACTCTGCTTTTAATTGAGATTGATTGGTCAAGACTTTAGAACATAGCAACTCTGCTATTTAAACAAGATGCAGATGTCCATTAGGTGAATGTCTTGACTGAGTTCAGTGATTAACATTTCCTGCTAAAGCTAAGCAGTTCAAAGCAATTTCATTGATCGATGCTTTGGGGCAATAACACTTTATTTCTAACTGATGGGTAGCGATGAAACTTTGTGTATACATGTACTTTCACTACCAGGTACTTCAAAACCTTGATTGAGTTTGACCGTGAACAGTTTCTGCTTAGACTAAGTATAAATAATCAGTTTGGTTATCCTGTTGACTTGTTTAGATTAAAGGGGGGGTTTAAAAACTGGCCGTTCTCGCCAGAATATTTCAAAAATAAAAATTGCAAAATGAATATGTTGAAAATTACATGCAGCTATGGAGGTTGTGGCGCCAGGCAGGGTAAGCTTACTCTTCCGGACACCTGTTACCACTGTTTGTCGTGTATTTTGTACACGAGGAGCAGTCTATTTGCTGATTACACTATTTTGCTTGAATACACTATTTTGCCTATAACATTTTTTAGGACTTCGAATTCTGTCTTATGGTTTG